ATTGAGAACTGAGTAGAAGTTATGGGAGGCAGTGGACAAAGGGAAGAGATTTGGATGTTTGACTTGGACACTGAGGGCTAGAAGTACTTTAAGCATTGCTGCTAGGAAGAGCCTTGGGTGTACAGAAAATACATGACAGAATTTTCATTTTACTAGAACCTTAGTAATGTGTTAAATCTTTGAAAAGTATTATGTGCCAGGAAACACTCCTTTGAGGAAAAAAACTAAAAAAAGTCACATGATTGCTCCTCCTATCCACCATCCCTGCCCTATGTATGACCTTTGCAAAACCTTAGGCAAATGCTGGCTACTTTTCAGACACACGGTCTTGTGATTAATGTCAAGGAATTGGGATTTAAGCCAAAAAGAATGGGAGCCACTGGGGGATGGTGAGCAAAGAAACAGAGTGGCAAGTTAGTAATCTGATTTATGTTTATTCAGTTCTTTTAGCAGTGTTAGGACATGGAACACAACACCTTTTACTTGTGAGGCAAGCTTCTGTCCTGCTAGGACTGGGAATTCAAGGTCTTCCTCCACTGGTAGTCTGAATTCAAGAGAGTCTTCCAACAAACAAACAAACAAACAAACAAGGCAAAAGCAAGCCTGATTCGGGGAAGCATGCCTGGAATCCCAGTATTTGAGAGGCACAGACAGGGAAATTGCTGTAAGTTCAAGGCCAGCCTGGTCTACAGAGCCAGTTTCAGCCCCTTCCCCCAGCACTACACAGTGAGTGAGGCTTCCCAAAAGAGAGTCACATTTAAGTACGTTTACAGAGCTATTTGTGCAGCTCTTTGTGGTGATGAAAACCTATAATCTTAGCATTGTGTAGAGAAAGCAGGAGGCTCAGAGTTCAAGGCTATCTTCAGCTGTACAGCGACTTTCAACCCGGCATGGGTATGTGGGACTGTCTGATGCAGAGAAACAAAATAAAGCAATAGATCATTGTCGATACTGGTCGCTTTTAGAGTTACAGTGGCCAACAAGTTTAAAAGCTGAAGTGAGAAGGCTTTGGTATGCTTCTTTTATCTAAAGAACTTTTTATTAGGAAATGAGATCACAGGGTGATGTATGAGGGGTGTGGCTTATAGGCTGAATAGATGAAAGGGAAGGTCAAAAGTTAAGGAAGTCTTGACACCGAGGCAGGGGATCTAAGGCATTTGGATGACAAATTTGCAATCCTGTTTTTGAAATTTCCTTGATTTCCAGGTAACACGGATGAGGAGTTCCTTCCCAGTGCCAAGACCCCTTAGTTCCCCTGCCTTGCGTTTCAGCTTTAATTTCTGCCTTTAAGACTTTAACTCCTCAAGAGCCAACGGTGGCAATTCCATTTTTGGAGGCTCCTTAAAGTTGACCAGGGATGCAGACCCTGCCTGTTCAAGGATCAGAAGCCTCAACCTGCCTAATCTTGGAAGAACATAAGGAAGTCTGAGTTTGGAGTTTGGAGGATTACCATTCCTTGGTAATCCAAAGAAGGGATGTTGTTAGTCAGGACTCAAAACTGTATGAACAGTAAAGCGCATATTAGATTACTTTATCCAGTCCTAAAATTAGCACTGAAACCAGGACCTTTTACCACTATGAAGTCACTGGGAAGATAATGACAGAAAGTTACTTCAAGTTAAGGGAGAAAAATGGAGAAACAGCATAACAGGTATCTTCCAAACACCTATTGTATTTTATCTGAAAAAAAAACTAAACAAACTGAAGGCAAGCTGGGTATAGTGGTACACGCCTGTAACCTAGGCTAAGCAACAGGAGTCAAGGTTAGCCTCAGCTATGCAGTGAATTCAAGACTACCCTTATCTTAAAAAATATCAACTTTCTGTTCTGGGATACACCCTCACAGATTAATCAAATTGACACTAAAATTAGCCATCACAGAATTTAATATATTAGGATTAGCTAAACATAGTCTATTGTTATTAGATAGTTTTGAGGGTTTTTTTAATTTTTATTTTTGATAGGATCTCACTCTGTAGCTCTGGTGGTTCTGGAATTCACTATCTGGCACAGGCTGGTCTTGAACCCACACCATCCTCAGCCTTAGCCTCCCAAGTGCTAGGACTAGAGGCATGAGCCTGGACAGATGTTTCTTATTTTGTTGCATCTGGGATGCTTTAGGAGCTGGTCCTAAAATAATTACTTTCCTTGGATTCTGGAGGAATGACAGTGTTAGGGTTGGTCTTCCCCATTCTTCTGGCTTACAATGTGCTTTTTTACTAGTGGGTATGCTTTGTTAGTGAAAACATTCAGACCCATCTGGAACAAGTTTAAACACTGCCACATTCTGAGTACTTTATTTCTTCAAGGGACAAGGGTATTTGAAGTTGTATCTTATATCAGCTATCAATCAAAACACACAAGTGTGTTTTCTTCTTAGAAACAATGGCTAGACACTGAGACTATGTCATGTTATGAGGCAAATTGCACAGGCTTAAAGAATGTAATCAAACAAGAAATCCAGCTTATGAGTGTCTCATAAATTTAATATTTTCCCCTAAAGTTTTAGTAAAAATGTATTTGCTTTTACATTTAATAGACACTATAAAATTTAAACTTCAATGTGTTTGGTGGAGATGACCTAACTGTCCTTGGAATTCTCCCTAGCCATGCTTAAAAGGAGCCTGGAAGCTTCTCTTGGGGTTGCGACCATTTTATGTGTAGCTGACTTTTGCATACTGGTGGAATTATTCTTAGCATTTCTCTTCTTTCTGGGTAGTGAGAGGTGTCCTATGCACAACATCTAACACTTCCTGAGTTCCCTTCCCAGGCCCAGTAGCACCTTCTCTTGAGACCTTATGATAACAAGCATCTCCATACATTTCTACCATCATCCGAGGGAAAAAACTCACGTCCTTTTGCATCCCACTGTATTTTAAATAAGGACACCCCTGAGACCTTTTCTTTTTGAAGATAACATCCTTTAAAGTTCATATTTTTTCACATATGATAGACATTAAAAATTGCAAAAACTGGGGCTAGAGAGATGGTGCAGTAGTTAAGAGTGCTTGATGGTCTTCCAGAGTCCATGAGTTGGATTCCCAGCAGCCAGCTCAGGCAACTCAAAACTTCCAGTAACTGCAACTCCAGGGAATCCAGTGCTGTTCTCCAGACTCCAAAGGCACCACCCACCATGCACACATGGCACACACACATGCAAATAAAAATAATGCTAGAGGTCCCACTTGCCAGAAAATCAGGCACCTTGCCCACAGACCTTCTCTTCTCTCTATTGCTATTCCCCCAGATCAAGTCCCCCAGTCTCATCCCCAGCTGTGCAACAGAACAACTTTCCTCACCAACCCCCAATCTTTTATGGATCTCACAGAAGTTCTGATCTTCCCTCCCCACTGCTTGCTGCTTTGTCCCAGACCCCAATCTCAGTAGGTACCACCAGCTAACCCAAGGGCCAGGACAAACAAGTAGGCTGAAGACAAACCCACACCTCTCCCACTGCTCCTGACATCCGATCTCCACCCCTACCCCAGTCTCACCTCCAGCTCTGAGGCAGGAAACCCACTGAGATCTCCTTTTCCTCTCTCTTTCCCAGTGGATCACAAAGACTCCTACTCTTCTCTAGTCTTTCTCTCTCCAAGTCATCTCAGTATCGCAACCTCCAATATCAGCAGGCATTCCCTATGAACACACCAGCAGAGCAGGCCAATAAAACAGGCAACACACAGCTACCACACTCTCCAGAAATCCAGAGGAGAAGCAGAAGCCAGGAACACTCACCCAACAAAGACAAATGTAGTAGGAGGAGTGGGCTGCATCATGCCGCCTGGCTAGCTTAACCCCCGAAATAAACACACAGAAATTGTATGAATTTAATTACTGCCTGGCCCATTATGTCTAGTCTCTTCTTGGCCAACTCTCACATCCTGATCTAACCCATTTCCGTTAATCTGTATATCACCACAAGGTCATGGCTTATCGGGAAAGATTCAGCGGCTCTGATCTGGCGACTTCATGGCAACTTTCCCTGTCTGCCTTCCTCCTCCCAGCATTCAGTTCTGTCTTCCTGCCTATCTAAGTACTGCCCTATCAAAAGGCCAAGGCAGTTTCTTTATTTAACCAATGAAAGCAATACAAATACAGAAGGACCTCCTACACCAGACAAACCCAGAAAATAGGACCTAACTATAATCAAACCCAGATGTCTAGATGCTGGCATAAAAACACAATCAATATTCCCATCCCCACCCTCCTCAGTCTACTCATGAAATCTGTTCTATTTCCCCTTCCCAGAGAGATTTGGGCATCCTCCTCCCACCATGAACCCTCCTTGTTACCTAGTCTTTCTGGGTCTGTGGATTGTAGTATGGTTATCCTTTATTTTACAGCTAATATCCACTTATGATTGAGACCCTACTATGTTTGTCTTTCTCAGTCTGGGTTACCTCACTCAGGATGATTTTTTTCTAGTTTCATCCATTTGCCTACAAATTTCCTGGTGTCCTTGTTTTTAACAACCAAGTAGTACTCCATTCTGTAAATGTACCATGTTTTGTTTATCCATTCCTTGGTTGAGGAACATCTTTGTTGTTTCCAAGTTCTGGCTATTACCAATAAAACTAGCTGGTGTGAACATAGTTGGGAAAGTGTCCTTGTGGCATGATTGAATATCATTTGGGTGTATGACCAAGAGTGGTATAGCTGTGTCATGTGGTAGATTTTCTGAGAAACTGCCACACTGACTCCCAAAGAGGCTGTATAAGTTTGCATTCTCACCAGTAATGGAGGCATGTTCCTCTTGCTCCACATCTTCTCCAGTATGAGATATCACTTGTGTTTTGATCTTGGCCATTCTGACAGGTATAAGATGGACTCACTTTGATTTGCATTTCTCTGATGGCTAAGGATGTTGATTCTCTCCTTAAGCGTTTCTCAGCCATTTGAGATTCTTCTGTTGAGGATTCTTTTGCACCCCATTTGTTAATTTGATTATTTGTCTTTCTGTATCTACTTTCTAGAATTCTTTATATATTTGTGTAGGGCCCGGTCTACCCTTGCTCCTTGGGGTGTATATTGAGGACGGTTTCTGGCCAGTCAGCTAAACATCCTGCTTGTTCCTGTGCTCCCTCTGCCCTAGCCTGGTGATTAGCTGAGGGGCATTGTTTCATCTTTGGTATGGTAATTTCCCACCTGCCTGGGAGGAAATCCTTATGCAGCAGCCAAATCCCACAAGCCTGGGAGGATATCCTTATGCAGCAACCAGGTATATAGGTTTTCCCCTAAATTGAATAAAGCGGCATTCGGCTAATCTCCTTTCGAATGACCCAGGTCTCTTGTGTGTTTCTTTCAATCTCCAGGCCTTTGCCCGGACTCGCGATCGGTACAGTGGCGCGCGAACTGTACCGAAGGGGTACCGCAAAATTGGGTGTTACAATTGAAGGCCCCACTGGGATCATCAGCAGCTACAGTCGGAGACTCATCTGCGGAGACCCATCGGCGAGATTCGGAAAGTAGGGATCCCTGAGAGGTCGCCCTCGGAAGGCTGGCTCACAGGTAAGTGGTGAGGGTGTATTGGCTAATGGGTGCAAGTAATTCTGTTCCAGTGTTAAGGGGCTGATTAAAGGTCCAATTGATAGTGCTTTTAGAGAAACAAGGCAAGTAAGGCACCGGTATTAAAATAAGACAACACAAGAGTTCCTTAAGACAGTTTTCTTTTGTATAAGGTAGTTAATTGCCTAATTTTTTTGAGAGAGTTTAGTCCCTGGTTTCTACACACAGGGGGCTTTAATATTACTGATTGGGAGCAGGTAAAGTTAAAAGCATTAAAAGAGTAAGGGCCAAAAGAATTCCCCATAACAATATTTTCGCTTTGGCGCTAGTCAGAGATGCTCTTCTCAATGATGATGTAAAAGTTAAAGAGCAATTAGAGAATTTAAACAAAACCCTTGAGAAGATTGAAAAAGTAAAATCTGTGAGTTCTATTAAAAATTTTGAGGAGCAGGAAGTTTAGAGTACTAAAAGAAATACAAAAAGAAAAAAAACTTTAAAAAAGGACATTGCTACTATTGTTCTTTTAAAAAGAATATGATGATGGAATGTCCCAGGTGGCTCACGGAGTCCGGCAAGGATGGCCGTGAGTCCCTGCAGCGCCATGCGGCCGGGGGTGGGGGGGGGGGGAGTCAGGCGGGCAGTTATGGCGGATAAAAGGCTCAC